CTTTGCTACCCCGCTAAAGCAAACCATACAGGTTAAAGTGAAAAAGCGAGACACCTACTGATGATGTGAAAAGGTTCTCAACATACAGGACGCTCTGACCATTCTCCCATCAAGGGACACCAAAGAAATCTTGCTACACTCTAGCACCACTATATTCTCATAGCTCCAATGATGTCTGCCTGTAGAAAGGTATCTTTGATGGGGGTTTTTTTCACGTTTACTGATTATAAGATACTTTTTCACTGTGGATATAGTGGTCAGAGTTCTTTTTCTAGCTCATCTGTGGTATTTAATTAGCGATTTGCATACTGCACATGAACAGTATAGGGTATGCACTATATCAGTATCTGTGTATGTATATACACTGAGTCACTAAGTCCAATGACCGGCCTAGCTTAAGTTACGCGCTTTCTAATATGACATAGAAGAGAAACCTCTCTGTGTGCACCTTACTTGCGGGAAACAGAGCGGCGGTAGGCATAAATAAACCTCCCTGGAGGAAAGTCGATACTGTGGCTCACATGTCTAGGAGATGAATATCCAAGCCTGTCTGCATCTTAATAGCTACAAAGCACTGTGTATATAATACACCTAAATCTGCACTTTTATATGTGGAAGAACTACTAAAAAAGGAAATACAGCAGTGTCAGAGTGGAAGAAATAACATTTAAAGTTTTAATAACTAAATATATTCAAGAACATAAGAGTCTAAGATTTGTCAGCGTGGAGAGGAAGTTTGTCTTTTAAATTACGTCGATGTGTTAAAAAGAGTAGGGTTAGTAGCAGCCTTGCCATCAGGTGTTACCATCTCTATCAAAGCAGACGTTTGGGCACTTTGCTGGTCCAGAGGAATAAAGGTGTATATTGACACAACACAACAATCTTTCTAGAAGTGGGCATTTCATCAAATTCAACATAAGGTCAGATCAGACCATACAATGCTCAGAAAAAAATGCAAAATCCCAAGAGCGACATCTCAGGTTCTACAACCCTCACGAAAATTCATATTCTTCTTATAAACTTTAACATGATAGTGAAATATTAAAGTTTATAACAATAAAAGTAGGAAAAACACTGAACGAGTAGGGGTTGTATGGAAGTGTTGTAAAGACAAAATCTAAACAGAGTTTGCAAAGTGCCAACGAAAAAAGCAATTAAATAAAACCTGCAAGACTTTTGGAACAATGTCCTTAGGACAGCTAAGCACATCATATCAAAACAAACACCCCACACTAACATCAAGCACTGATGGAGCAGTGATGATTTGGGCTTAGTTTGCAGCCACAGGACCTGGGCATCTTTTGGTTGACCATGAGTCAATCAAACTATTATAGATACTCCAGGTTTCAACTCATGTTATTAAGTACACATGTCCACAGAGTCAGTTTCTTCCATTCCAGCCTCTTCACCACTATGGTCAAGCCCGAACAGCTGTCAAAGGACATCAGGGACAAGATTGTAGAGCTGCACAAGGTTGCAATGGGTTACAAGGCTGTCAGCAAGAACCTGGGCAAGAAGATGACAATTGTTGGTGAAATTATTTGGAAATGGAAATGAAACATAATTCACCCTCGGACTGGAAGTCCATGCAAGATCTTGCCTCATGGCTTGAGGATGATCATAGAGAAAGGCGGTGGACCAGCATAAAACTACATGGGAGGAGCTCATTAATGATCTGAGTTATTTGGGACCACAGTCACCAAGAATACCATGAGTAACAGACTATGCCACAGTGAATTGAAATCTTGCAGTTTTAATTTAATTACTACATTTTCTAAAAATGTGTTTAGTCTATTTGCAGGAGCTTGGAAAGAAAGCGACTGAACTTCTTTAAATTTCTTGAACTGTAATTTTGTGGTCATGGCTTTAACTATAAAGTGATGGGCTAAATTAGCAGTTATATCAATTTCATTTTAAATCTACGATAAAGTAGGCCATTCCCATGGGGTCTGAAAAAAGATTGACTGCAGAAAAGTCTAGGGCAAAGCAACTTTTTGGATATCTAGAGCTATAGTTTCAATTTCCATCCATCCATCTGTGTCTTGATTAGCTGTTGGACTTAAACCTGATTTTAAAAATATAAACTAATCAAAAGTCTATTATTTCACTTCACAGAACGTGCAACCACATATTGTATATGCTTCCAAGACTAGGTTGAAACAAGGTAACTCAGGCCCCATTACTAAACAAATGGCAGCAAACAAATGTCTGTTATAGCCTTCACATAAAACATATACAAGGACAGTAACTTCTCCATTCATTCAAAGCTGCATCAATTATTCATAAATGCTCCGACTCCAGGGATCGATGCCTCTATAATGTGGACTGATATGAGCCCCTGGTCGAGTCTTGGCTGCAGCAAGTTAATGGGCAGACTCGATTTCATCCACTGCTCGAGGCACTTCCTTCACAAAACTCTGCACCACACCCCACTGACACACTTTATAAAATTACAGAATGAAGGGAGATATCAGAACAGCACAAAAGGGCCAAAAGCAGTAAATATGGTCAAAGTACAAGTGAGAGTATCCCCCCAATTTATTTTTGTGAAATTACCAATTATTTATCAACTGAGGGGTGAAACTTGATATGGCCCTGCGTAAAATTGTAAAGTAGGCATCAAAACTGAGAAAAAACTTTCAGTGGTTTTAGGAATCCCCAAAATGTATTAGGTTTGAATATGCCCTGCGACAGACTGGCCCTAAGAGAGCTGGGATAGGCTCCACCCCCCCAACCCTGAAAAGGATAAGATGGATAATGGATGAATGGAACTGGCTTGATTATCATGAAATTAGGTTTGACATTTAGTTCTCATCAGAAATAACAGCTACTACTATCTTTCCTTGTTTGCAATAACATCTTTTTAGGGTTTTTTTGTTATGTTTTTTGACCAATACTTTTTGACATTTTATGTGCATTATAGACATTTGTCATCACAGCCATTTTAACATGAAATAATAGGTAATTAGTGTTACTAATCACATTAAGCATGCTAGCTAGGAGTTGCTAGCTTGTCATGCTAGCAATAGCATGAGGTATAGGAAGTGTTTATCCACAGAAAAATGATTAAGGTTGTGACACCCTTCAGTGGCTTCTGTACTGGACACATTTTGATACCTTACCACTAGCATCATACAATCAAATGTTTTCCTTACCTGGGATGATTGAGCATGCATCAAGACTTTACCACTAGCATTTTATCTCCTGCCATGTTTGTTTTCAGAAGGGACTATGCATGCAAGCTGTATGTGCAACTGTATGGGTACAAGTACCCATCATTCCATTAAAAATGCTTCAAAAGGCACAACACAGCAAACTACAGTAGAAGGGTCCAGTTAGGTAACTTGAATTAGCAGAGGTTAGTACTAGTTAAAAATTTACTTTTTGACAAAGCTTATATATGGGCTGAATCAGGTGACCTCCCTTAGTTACACTGCAATATGCTAGGCTGCTGGGGGTTTCCCACAAAGCACTAAGGCTTTCTTTTTCACTCACGTTTTTCACTCACTGTGTGTTTATACAACACATTTAATAATTAATTATTATTAATATCTGCCTTGGCTCTCTTCCACAGTTTGTCTTTTGTCTTTGGTTGCAGCATATGGTTGCATCTCCCTGAGCCTGGTTCTGCTGGAGGTTTCTACCTGTTAAAAGGAAGTTTTTCCTTTCCACTCTTGCCAAGTGCTTGCTCATTATAGGTTTGCCAGATTGTTGAGGTTTTCCCTCTGTTGTTGTAGCATCTTACAATATATATCTTACAACATCAAGTACCCTGAGGCGACTGTTGTTATAAATTTGTTGCTATGTAAATAAAATTGAGTTGAATTGAACTTTAGGCATGATAAAAATGAGTTAAATATGATTTTAAGTGCTGTTATGTTCAGCATATTTATATGGGAGTCTACTGACCCTCTTTTGGTGCCAGTCTCTAGTGAACTGCAGTTTTTTGCTTGTCCACATTAGCTTCCTTTTTCAACCTGGAGTTTGCTGCTGGCTTTTACTCCGGCCATGGATTCCCAACCTAGCTCATGACACTTTTTAAAGAGAGTAAGTAACTTACTAAGGTTTTGTCATCTTTGTAAAGTTCAGATGTTTCATTTCAAAGTTTTGAGTGAAATAAATTGATCCGGTTGTTGACCACAACACATGGTGTTATTACCCTGTTCAGCTGTGTGGTAATGTGAAAAGCATTAAATATTCAGTTAAGAGGAAGTCGAGTGTCACTACATTATCTGAGATGTCAGGGATTTATTGATGACTATCCTTTATCTCTTTGAGCAGAAAGGGCACACAGAAACTCACACACACACACACGCGCACACACACACACACACACACACACACACACACACACATTAAACCACTGGGAGTAATATTATTTGTTTGATAGATGTAGTCTATTTGTTTCATGAATTATAGATCTTCCAAAATGTCATGCAGAGCCAGAGGCATGTTCCTACTCGCACACTGTACACATGACATCATGCTGACAGATGAGTCCTATCAGCAGCACTTTCTGGAAGTTTTAACTGGGAAACTCAAAGGTTAGTCAATCAATAAGTAAAGCTTTTTAAAATGCTTCCTTGTTTCCTCCACAGAGCTGAATCATTAATCAGGCATACAGACTGTAAATCTGAGGCATAACCTCCTCCACAGACAGACTTAAAGCTTTTCATGAAATGCACTTTGATCTTTTAGGTTAAGCTGTGGTCCTGGTCAGGTTAAAGCAACTCAAAGCAACATAAAAAAAAAATTATGAGCACGGATAATATATATCTTTTGTGTATGGACCAAAAAAATTCTCACTGCTGTGGTTATCTTTGATCTTTTTGGGAGATGGAATTTATCAATGGACATGTAAGAAGGGATGTAAGACAGAAAGGAGGATGTTTCAGTCTGAATCTGAGACCGCCCTCTCCTTGCCGCGCTACCCCCAACCATTCTGCTGGCTCGACCCCACTCCACCTCTTCTTATTCATTCAGACCCGTCCAGGGCGGAGAGGAAACTGCTGCCCCCTCAGGGACTTGGCATCATAATTATATAGGAAGCAGAGCAGTCTGTCGGTTGTTAGAGGTAAAGAAAGGCTGCAGGCTGGTCTCGTGCATGGACACCAGTGTGCAGTGGACAAGTGGTCATAACATGGATGTGGAGCTCTATTTCTGACACTGTTAGGAAGGTAAGATAATCTCATGCATTAATCTTCAAAGAGCAACAAAGAGCGATTACCAGTCTGATGTTAAATCTCCTGCTGTATACAATCTGTTGCCTTTAATTAGATCATAGTCGGATTGTCAGTGATGATGTTTGCAAACTGATGCAAATAGAAATGTTAGGTATTAAACTAACACGTCTCGAAGTGACTTTGCTCTTGAATTATTTCTAAATGAAGCTTGAAAAGTCTTCAGCTTTGTGTGAACAAGTCCGCTCTTGTCTGCAGGATGTTTCTGAAGCCTTAATTAGATTTATTGCCACTGGAGATGATGATCAGTATAGGAACAAGCAGTGGGAGTCCACAGCAGCCTAGATTACAGAAAGTTCTCGAAGGGTTCTGTGTTAGTCACAAAGCACTTCTAATGGTGCCAGTTAGATAATAGAGCTTTACATTTACATCTCATAGCCCATTAACTTATTCACCCCTATATCATAAGAAACTTTTTTTTAGATAAACAAAGACACCTTTTAAATGCTCATACTCATATTCTGGCATATTTCAAACCTAAGACATAGTACAGTTGTCACAGAGTATTCTGTTTTTGCATTCGTCACAGATTGAGAGGTGGAAGCAGGCATGTCAGAGAAGAAGCCCCGGGGCTCAGACACTCGGCCCAAAAGTGGCTTCCGCAGCTGGAGCGCAGACAGTTACATTTGGAAGGGGAAGAAACGCTCCCGGAGCTCTCGCAATGGGTCGAGCCCTGGAGGCATGCAGATGGACGGGACGGAGGAGTTGGGTGTGGGGTCATCATCCTGTTCGAGGAGGCGCAGAGAGAGGAAATGTAGCTGCAGCGCTCTAGGGGACACACTGACATCTGGAGATATCGATGTGATGTGTCGGAAGGCCTTGTCACGGCGCTCTCTGCGGCAGAAGTTTCAGGATGCTGTTGGCCAGTGCTTCCCTCTGCGCTCTCACCATCACCACCACCATCACCACCATCATTCATCGGGCTCCTCGCGACCCTTTTCAGTGCTCTTCTGGTCCAAACGGAGGATCCATGTGTCAGAGCTCATGCAGGATAAGTGCCCATTCTCACCCAAGTCTGAACTGGCTCGATGTTGGCACCTTATTAAAAATCATGCTACCCACCCAAGTGCCCTCAAGGACATGGAGGCTCCCCTCAAACCTAGTGTCTCATCCACTACCTCTCCACCACAAACCCCCATCTCGTGGGAGGACATATGCTGCTCCCCTGGGCCTGGATGCACCAGTCTGGAGGACTGGGACCCTTCTTGTGCTCATGGGCATGAAGAAGGTAGGTGTGGACACACGGACTACATCCTGGTTCCAGATCTCCTACAGATCAACAACAACCCATGCTACTGGGGCGTGCTGAATCGCTTTGAGGCAGAGGAGCTGCTGGAGGGCCAGCCCGAGGGCACGTTTCTGCTCCGGGACTCTGCCCAGGACGAATTTCTCTTCTCAGTGAGCTTTCGGCGCTACAGCCGTTCCCTACATGCACGTATTGAACAAAACGGCAAGCGTTTCAGCTTTGATGTGCGTGACCCGTGTATGTACCGTGATCCAAGTGTGACGGGACTGCTCAGGCACTACAGCGACCCAGCCACCTGCCTCTTCTTTGAGCCACTCCTTTCCAGACCTCTGCCAAGGAACTTCCCTTTCTCCCTCCAGCACTTGTGCAGGGCAGTGATCTGCAGCTGCACCACCTACCGAGGCATAGACAGCCTGCCGCTGCCACCTCAGCTCAGGGACTATCTCAGACAATACCATATTAAGTGTGACGCGGCCTGTGCTGTGTGACTAACCAAATCAGGCCTCATACTAAGGACAAGCAAAAGAAGCTCACCTTGGCAAAAGTACTGCCATTAAATTCTAACAGTGTTTGCTGTTACATGAGGTTTAAGGATTCGATCTTGAGCCAAGGATTGTCATTTGTACTGCAGTTCCATTTGGTGTGATAGCAAACAATGGCAATTGCTGTTTTTTTAGCCTTTCAATATTTAGGAGTGACAGCCTCACAGAACAAGAAAACAACTACTAAAGGGGACTGTGGCGAGACAGCCTGAGTGTTGACTTAAGCAAGCCAACACTCCATTACAGAAGATGTTAAGATCATAGAAATGTTATGGTCTTGAACCCTGAACACAGCTAGTGCAGTCAAATGTTTGAGGTAAAGCAACTCTGGGGGTATCTAGTAATATGCAAGCATTATGGATTTTTCACTAACTGCATAACCGAACAAATTTCTACATTTCATGATATTTCATCCCAGCCTTGCAATATATCTACATAAGTACTTAGTATGCTTTTCTTATTTTCTGTCATGCACATCTATGCACTGTTACTCGTTAAACATTCATTCCGAAAGGTCAAATAACGAGGTCAGCGTCATTGAGAGCCAAAGGCTCAGGCTTCTGTCTGCTCTGAACACTCAGACCATTCTTTGGATCTTTATGATGTCACTGAAAGGGGATATCTTTAATATGTCCATCTGAGGTATGTAGCTCTGTATGTGAGCAGCAAAGCTCCACCCAGCTGCTGTTCAAAACTTGTATTTGCGATGAACAAGCAGCAAGAACAAATCTGACTAAACGAGAGGCCAAAAATACGTAAAGCAACCCACGTCAGAGAGCGAAGAACTACAGGTCTGTACCCAAGCCCAGTATGAAATGAATAATGGAAAGCTACTAGCAGAGTCCAAGAGTATATATATAGAGTATATAAGGTCATCTTTAAACATTGATGTAATATAACACAAAATTCCAGCTGAATCTCTTTGGAGAGAACTGCTTTGTGCCGGATGGATTACTCGATCCTGCACAGGAAAACTGAATCAGGCAAATGGACCTGACAACAAGGATGCTGTTTTTAATTTGGCCTTTTATCTGCTACACAAAATGGGTTCAAACACCCTGCTGGCAATCAATACATGTAAGCAAATTAGAGATGCATTATGACAGGAAAGGAGACTTAATTAAAACCCTCCGAGGAGCACAAATGTCGTTCCTTTTGCCTTTCAGCTCTCAGCTGCTGTGTTGAAAGGCAGCAATAAAATCTGCAGCTTTTCATAAAAGAAACACGCAAAATCACAGTTATTTATATATAAGCGGTTTATAAATTTCTGATCAAATGTAATACGATAAAACAGAAAACAAGCTTCAGAGAGGAGATGCCCAAACAGGACCAAAATAAAAGCTATATAAAGAAGGCTTGTATTTATTTTAATTTTAAATTTAAAAAAGAAAGCAATATTTGAAGACAGTCACTGAGGGTTGCTGACCTGACATTAAAAAAAAGATCCTCTTTAGTCCTCATTCGGGGCTTAAGAACAACTAACCCCCACCCACCACCACCACCAAACTCAAACTAATGGCAGCAGTGAAAGCAGCTTACAATCAAACCTGAAACTAACTCGTGGCTGATGATGAAGGGCGGCTTAAACTGGACTGATGTGCTCTTGTCTCTTTGAATGCAAATACAGGCCAGTGAAATGTCAGCCTCTTGTCCAGCTTGTTCATTTGGGTTGCATTCTTCTCTCCAGCCACGAGGTGGCGACAGCACTACATCGATCTGCTCCGTTTGCCTGTCTTTGAAAGCGCCTCTGTAAATGTGTCCTAACATCAGCCGTGCCTCTAACCTGTACCTGTTGTGACTGAGAAACTGTTCATAAGCATATATTGTATTCATACACACACCAATAAATTTGATTTACACGCCCTCTGTTGTGTGTCTGAGTTTATTTATTTATTTGTTGTCATATTAGGATAGCTTTTAATACATCATGTGTATGCCTGCGTGTTCACGCTGCAGCTGTGTCACAGTTAGACAAGTTAATGGTACGGAAAATGCTGCTTTTGAAGTATCACTCTGAAAACAATTCATCCTGGTCTTGGCAAAGGACACCTCTAAATGCCAGGCTTCTTTGGGAGATAAGGACATGAAAAAGACCGCACCCACACACACACACAAACGCAAAGCTGGTGTGGAATGCAGATTTTTCATTTGATTTGTGTGTTGTTCAGCCTCTTTGCAACGCCAGTGCAAAGAAAAAGAAAATGTGCTGAGGTGACTTGCGTGAGTAGCTACACTTGTGTGTATGAAATATTCATCATGTGGCCATCATGTTTTTGGGGACCACGGTGTTTCTTACTTCAGTATTTGAAACCGAGACTGATTATTCGCTAGTCTTTTGTCAGGCTGTGGTCTTTTTTGAGCTTCTGTTACATTGTTACTGTTCAAAATTAGATATAATAATATAGAGCTAGTTTCAGCAAATACCCCAAAACTACATATTGCATGCTTACTTTAAGGTGACAGGGCCCTCTAGTGGATCAGACCAAAGGAGGAGGTAAAGGAAGGTAGCCACACGTAGAAAGTGTGGCAACAGATATTAACAACAGATATTAAAAAAGAGGGTGACTCAAAACTTTTGCACAGAACTGTAGCTTCTTAGTTTATTTATAAAATCATCTTAGTTCAGCTTTAAGGACGTTCCCTTGCAATCTTGGGTTCAGTACCAATGTACCACAGAGAAAATGCTCCTTTTTTTCTGTGTTGACTTAAACTCAGTTTGTCGGATGAAATATTTGTGGGATTCTTGTAGCACAGGAAATTGAGCATCTACTATTTTTAATCCTTCATGGGATAAAAGCCAGAAAATTACAGTTTTCATTTTAAACATGAAATAAACCAGACACTTGCTGATCACTTTCTCATACTTGTTTGTCTTTCATGTGGCAAACTTTATGTTTCATCACCCTGATTGCACACAAGTCAGTAGCCAGGCAATGGAGGGACTCAGGAGCCATGTCTATTGATCTTCCTGACCCATGTACATAAAGTATTAATGTTGTCTCGTAGGAGCTGATTAAGGAGCTTAGGTTTTCAGCAACGCAAAGCCATCGTGCGCTGTTATATTGGATGCATCTTACAGTGGATTTCCAAGTTCAAGAACTTTGCTTTTGAGGTTTTATGTTAGTACATGACTGCATTTGGCAGCCCTGTGTAGACTAAAACACATAACTAAGCTTTAGGCCTGCTTCACATGTCCTGGTACAATATTACACATCAATGATATAATATTCAGACACACTGATGTCTGCCAGCAGAGAACTTCCTGTTCCACTAATCAAAGTATCCCCTGAGAAAACACTGCGGGGTGCATAATCTATATATATTAAAAGGTTCATATAAATAAATAATTAAACAAAAAGGTTTTTTGAGTGAATATTTACATGGACTTTAGTCTTATACCCTCACTATGTTTCCATGTGTGTTACAGTGGAAAGCGTCAGTCTGAAAAATAAAATGTGCATTATCCAAACAAATGCGAATCAAGTGAAATTATATTCTTTCATTCATTCTTTAAAAAAAATATTTTTTAAATTAAAATTACAACACATGTATTGTTCGAATCATAAATGTGAGATGAGCTGAAAGACTCCTGTCTGACTTAAAATAATAATACTACTACTACTAACAATAATAATAATAATAATAATGATAATAGCTCCTTTGACAATAATGATAATACATTAAAATGTGTACATTAAAATATTACATTTTAAAGTCCTCTAACAGACAAGAGCCTAATTATATAATTATATAATGTATGCATCACTTGCATGCACCTGCACCATCCAACTGTAGTGTAAAATAAATTTGTCGGAAAACGACAGAAAAATTAAAATACTGTTTCAATGCTTTAAGGCACATTTCCTCAGATAACACTGGAATAATATAATAACAGCGTGTGTCTCAACCACTGTCCAAAATCTGTCGTAAATAGCCTTTCGATAAATGAATGAATGAATAAATAAATAAACCCCAAATCCCGTTCCTTGCTTCAAACGTGGGAGGGATTACAAAATTTGCGTCATGACGTTGCTGGCGGGAGTCGTGACGTGACGTTTCCTTGTTTTCAACGCAGCGCGGGAGATTCAGGAGAAGAGGACCGAGTGTGTCCACCCAAGAAACGTGTAAGTTGATTTCTAACGAAATACTCTGTTCACAGCTCAGTGTAAAACTGCCTCCAGTGGTTTAGTGTCTGATGCCGTGAACACCGTGGAGTTTGTACGAGTGTGGTCGGCTATATTTAGCTCTATTGTTAGCGTTAGCTCAACTCTGCTGTTAGCTCTCTATGGGTTAATAAGGCAGCAGTGGCGGAGGAGCAGGTGTAGACTGTTTTACTTGATAGAAGAAGAGGTTTTCACGTGTTTTCTCCTCTCTTCAGTCTGGTGCTTTGTCAAAATGCCATGTGAAAGGAAGCCGATGCGCTACGGCCACTCTGAAGGACACACCGAGGTGTGCTTTGATGACACTGGGAGGTGAGTCCGAAAACAAAAAAGTGTCTCCCTTTGAGCACTGACTGTGACAGCTAATGTACAAGTAAAGCTGTGATCCGATTGCGTTTAAGACTCAGATTTTACCTATTATCGGCCCACAGCCTGTGAAAGTATTGCTTTACAAACATGTCCTTTAAATTATTAGTGTAGCCCGCAGGTTAGTCAGATCAGACCAGGCAAGTACATATGAACTTGAGCGCATCAGTCTCACAGTGTCATCAATGACAACACAAGTCTTTCAATGGGCTGAAACTGAGTAAAATGTGATTCATTTAAATTCTATGCCACGTTAAACTGAAATCGTTCACAGTCCTGATTTTGGTTTCTGGTAGACTTAATAATTTAAACAGATCATTTCATCAATCTTATGCTGCACAAAGTTTCTGTAAACTAACCTGATCAAATTGTCCACAGGTTCATTGTAACCTGCGGAAATGATGGAGATGTTCGAATCTGGGAGAGTCTGGATGATGATGATCCAAAGTTTATCACTGTCGGGGAGAAGGCTTACTCTCTGGCACTGAAGGTTGGATTTTCTCTGACTTTTCTACAGATGTCATCATTATTCGGTGACACACTGCATCATACAAGTGATGTTTGGACCAATGTGTTCTCTGCTCCACAGAATGGCAAGCTGGTAACGGCGAGCTCCAACAACACCGTGCAGATCCACACATTTCCTGACGGCGATCCAGACGGCATCTTGACCCGCTTCACCACCAATGCCACACACGTCGCCTTCAACAGCATTGGCTCGAGAGTTGCAGCTGGGTCCAGGTACTTGATAGTTGGCTAGCTTGTGCTGAACTGAAATGATATAAATGAAAACAGGATAAAAGTAATACCTTAGATATTTGAAGGAGCATTAATTAAGGTTAAAAGATAACTAACTTTGCTGGCTCATTGCCAGATACAGATATGGGCTGGATGGTGTGTAAGGAATGAAAGGATGCCACATCATTAGTCCATTCATTCATTCCAGCTCAGATGGTACTTCGTAGTTTGTATGGCCCCTGCATATTACATGTAATAATAATGTATACTTTATTGACCCCTGTGGGGAAATTCCTCTCTACATTAACCCACTGAGTACTCAGTGAAACAGTGGGCTGCCATTGGGCACCCGGGGAGCAGTGTGTAGGGACGGTACCTTGCTCAGGGGTACCTCAGGGTAGCCGTTCAGGGGAATCGAACCCCTGACCTTCCAATCATGGGGCCAACACTTTACCTATTGAGCTATCCCTGTCCCCAACCCGCCTTTTTTCTCTCTCATAATAATGTGTACTTTAATGTGTGCCTGACAATGTAGGGTCCTGCTCCTAATGAGACAATGATGGGGGAGGGGATCTTCTCCCTGATCTGGACCAGGGCATCACTGAGCTCTGGAGGGCAGTCAGTAATATCAGTTCCTTTGTGCTCCAGGAGCTGCCTGCTTACTATTGCCACATGAGGCATTTTCAGAGATGACTGAATCCCATGTTCCCTCATCAAAGGAACAATCCAGATCTTTTCCCCCAAATACTTTTCTACATGTGTTGTTTTGCCTTTGTAAGTAAGGGTGGAAGTAGAAGGATATTCTCTATGAGATTTTTCTCCTGAGACAACTTTATTATATCTTTCAGACAGTCTCTAATTTGTAAATATCGCCAGAAATTGCCGGGTCCTTCCAAGTTAAACTTTACTGTCAGATCATTAAAAGACATGAGTGTGTTATATTCATATAAATCACTTATTAATCTTATGCCTTTTTTGTGCCACTGTGGCCAATAAATTGCTTGTTTACCTGAGCCAACACCTCAATGGGGGTAAATGGAAAGGCCAGTTCACGTTCCATTAGAACCCAGTCCAGGTCCGAATTTGTTGCTGCCCAGTGTGTACACAGCTTGGACATTTCAAATGAGATGAGGCCGCACATTGTTGAGCACCGGGAGGAATCCAGGATGCGCAGCAGTCATGGTTTTGTTGCCTAGCCTGAAGAGAATTGTGCATCCCTCCATGGATATGCCACTGATCCACCACCAAATCGGTCATGCTGAATAATGTATAACTTTTCTCTACGGCTTCTCCAGACCTTTTCACACGTACCTGCTCTTGTCTGTTAATTCTGGTATTCAATGGCTAATGTAAGTCAGGCTCCATGGTGAGTACAGAGTGAGCACAGGGCCCAGTCGGGGACCTAGGATCCTCAAGCCACCCTCATGAGGTCTGCTTCTGATTGTTTGGTCAGAAACTGTCCTGTCCAGCTCTCCTAGATTAACTGTCCCAGCACTGGAGTCTCCTTGAGACTGTGCTGGGAGACACAGCAAACATTCTGGCAATGGCATGTATTGATGTGCTAGAAGAGTTGGACTACCTCTGACCTCACACCTGACATGACCTGATGTCAGGTGCAAACCTTCAGAATTAATTGAGTTACAGCTGACAAGACACACTCATGTGTTGCTTCTGTGATATTT